CCCCGGAAGAGTAGACCGCGCGCAGCGACGCCTTGTCGATCGAGATGAGCGCGCTTGAAGCTCGCCCACCTACTGCCCCTCGTGAGAGTTGGTTACGAGTGGGACCAGCCACCCCCTGAGACGCAGCCGAGGCCGCAAAGAAGGCCGAGGAGGAGAGAATTATCAGGCTTCTCGAGCAGTGTCACGAGGAGCGGATCCGGCTCGGCATCACGGCGGAGAGCCAGGCGGCGGCGTCGGCAGAGGTGGCTAAGGCGGCGCGCTTGGACGCTGAGGCGGACGCGGCGGAGGAGGAAGCGGAGGAGGAGGAGGAGGCCGAGGCAGCGGCGGTGGCGATTGAGGAGGCTGCCGAGGAGGCGCAAGCGGCGGCCAAGGCGGCGTTTGATGAGGCCAGGGCAGCATTGGAGGCGGCCACGGCGGCACTGGATGGGGCGCGGGCGGCGCTGGCTGGGAGTGAGACCGCTCTGGAGGATGCGAAGGCCGCTACAGGGGCGAGGCGTGCTGCTACAACTGCTGCGAGGGCCAGGGCGGTTGCTGCCAGACTGGCGGCAGAGGGAGGGCGCTCATAGGGCTGAAAATGATCCATGTCACCTCATCCAGGTACCGGGCTTCGTCAGTTTGTTCTGCAGCACAATCAAAACAAGTAGAGAAGTCACGCGAGAAAAAGAATGCACGCAAATAAGCGCTTGAGTTTGCGTTCGTAAAACTAAGACATTTTGTTTTCTTTTACGAGTGGCAGAAGAAAAGAAATCCATATAAAAAGAAATTGCGTTGTTTCATCACGGTGCGGCTGGGCTTTGGTCCGTTTACCCCACTCATAAGGCCCTTTTCTGCGCTACAATGTGCGCTCCGCGCCCCTAGCACCGCCCCGTCTCCCCCGCCGTGCCCGCGCCACATGTCACCTCGTACTCCCGCGCGCGGTTTCCCTGGTCCGCCTCCCCCCCGGCCACTCGGCTCTACGCGCCCGGCGGGCTCGGCCTCGCAACTATGCGTGTGCGGTGAGCCGCCCCACCGTCGGGCGCGATCGGCCTTTGCGGCGCACAGGATGGTACTTCCCGATTTATGTGGCGCATACCGCCCCCCCCCCAACCCTCAGCACCCTCATGGCAAGCACTACGCCAATTATTTAGTGACAGAAAAATCGGTATCTCACGGAATCCAACCAAAACCGCCGCAGGTCCGGGCGGGGCCGAAAACGGCTTTTGCTGCCAGACAGCTACAACGTCCAGAAGGTCATCGCGTGGCGGCAGAGAGCTGGGGGGATCGAGCTTCTGACCGCTTGGGAAGACTACGATGTCGATGGTTGGACGTGGGAGCCCCTCGACAACATCCCCCAGCGGTTTGTTCGGGCCTTTCATGCGCAGCGCGAACGTCTCCCGACATCCTTTTTCTACGTCGTGACCAGGATGCGCGACCGGATCGCCTTCAAGGTGATCGAGAGGACCGGCCCGATGTTTGGGCTTGCTGTCCTGGTCGAGGAGGCCTCCCTGCGCGAGTATGCGCTCGCGCTGCTGCAGTACTTCTCTACTCCTCCGAGCGGCACAAAGGCCAAGATCGCGGTCAAGGAGGACCACTGGCAGCGGGCGCACACACTCACCATCTTCTCGCAGGAGCACGCCGCGTGGATCGTGTCGCTGCACGAGTCGCGGCCTACCCACGGCGTCGGCGCGCTCCGCATCAGGGGCGCGCGACGCATGTCCAACATGCTGCTCGTCGCGTGCAATGCTCGCACGCCGATGCGCCTCTCCTTTGTGGAGCCGCGCGCAGGCGGCTCCGACGCGCCTGCCCCCGGCTCCTACAAGTTCACGGTCGAGTTCACCACCGTGGGCATCAACTCGGCGACGAGCGACATCATGCCGTACACCGCGCCGACGGACGAGCTGCGCCTCGAGATGGCAGAGGCGCACGCGCTGGTTGCGTACGCGAAGAAGACGCTCAAGCAGCCGTGGGCGGCGGAGCCTGTCCGGCACAGGCTGCGCGCTAGCGGCTGGTGCGACCAGCCGGTGGCGTTTCAGTAGAATCCGTACATACCGGCACAGTCTAGCACGCGTGTGTGCCCCCACCCACACACGCGCGTGGCCCCGCGCTGGTTCCCGCGCGGCACTTCATGCGGAGCTCCTGGCGTGAGTGCACACTGTCCCGGGCGTCCAGCTGATGTCGTGCCACGCTTATGGTTGGTTTATTAAAGGTAATACTACACACAAACCGTCCCTGGGACTGCACAGGAGCCGGCGATAGGCGCGCGCGTGAGCAGCTGCTCGGAGCTGTGTTGTGTGTGTTCTCGCTCGAGTTCACCAGACAAGCCGAGCGTATCGTGCGAAGATGCTCGCGAAAACGCGCTGGAGCACCCAAAACGCGGAGCGCCCACGGCTGCTGTTCCGCACAGCGCGTTCGACGGCATGTTACGGCTAGAGGCGGGCGGTGGGGTGCAGCTCGCGTGCGGGTCGCTGTCACCGCCCTGCCGAGCCAAGCTGTCTGAGGTCGGCAGCGCGAGTTGGCTGGCGTCGCAGAGCGCCTTGCCGGCCGCGCACATCATATATGCTCGCACTTGGGGCGAAACAACCCGCTCCCAATACACAGTGCCGCGTAGAACTGCTCCGCCGCTTGATGGCCCATCCGGGCGCTGCGCCAGCAGGCAGCGACCTGCGGAAATGAGTGGCCGAGAGAGTCCGGTGCTCACCCGTGGCGTGTGCCTACTCACTCAGGCTTCACTCGGCCCAGATCTGGTATGAAAGGACCCGATTGGGGCTTGGCCGGAGCCGGGACGACTGTCAAACACGCTGCCATATAGCCGTGGTATTTTGGCCCTCTCGTTTCCGCACCGTGATAACACCGAAGGCAAGCTCAAAAGAATTTTACAACAAAACTCCCTCGCACGACACTGGGCACAGGACTGGGCACGGGACTGGCTCGCACTGGCACTAACACAGGTACACCACGGGAGCCGCCTAAGCGACTCCTGCGAGGGTGGCGAGGCACTTAGCTCCGTGCACCCGCCCACCCCCGCCACAGGCAAGCTCATTCACAATCTGCTCTGCGATTGCCGTGTGAAGAACGACTGAGATGCGCTGCTTCTGCAGCCCCAGCCAGCTCTTGGTGGTCCAAGTCACCTCATCGAGGTACTGGGCCCGCGTCAGCTTGTTCTGTAGTACGTCCGCCGCCTTCCTGAGGATCTCACGGACCCCCTTTCCGAACCCGCCGAACGATTCGAACAGCAGCAGCTGCACTTCGACGCCCTTGTCTTCCCTGGCGTAGCGATAGTCCCCGCCGTAGGACGGTATGCGGCGGTCGCCGCCCACCACCCTGCCCCCCCTGGTATGCCAGCGCCCGGTCCCTTGCCCTCTCTCGCCCTTGCTCTTCCTCTCCCCCTCCATGCCGCCCCC